CTCTGCGGACGCGCCCGCTGCGCACCCGTGGGGAAAAGCTTTGCCATGGGTGACCTCACTCTGGCCTGCTTTCTCCTTGGCTCCACTCCCCTGGCCACTGGCTGTGCCATGTGTCCGGCCAGTGGCCCTCTGGGCATGGGCCGCTGTCCCTGGGAAGTGGGCATCAGGCCGACGCAGTGAACACACTTGGAAGGACCGGAAAGCCCTGCCCCGAGAAATGCAGGCGGTGTGACTACTTCTGCTGTGTCTGCCCCAAGAGGCAGGGTGGGTGGTTCGGTTCCCGCGGCTTCTAGCATGCAGGCCAAACGCTGCCTTGCTTTATGTAAGCCGCTTGTACTTCCTACCCAGCAAGGTTTTCTCTGGTGTGTCTGCCTTTCCTTCCCTACCTGAGGGTTTTGGTTCACAGCAGCAGAGGAGAATTTAGGACTGTTTTTCCCTGGGGCTGTAGCCTTCCCTTTAAATAGGCTGAAAGGGGCTGAGCACGGGCCTGGAGCTGCCGCTGGAAAGGAGGTTTTTCCTCCAACACAAAGAATTATACAATCATGCCCAGTGTGGTCCATAAAATTGCTCCCTTATACCAATATTTCATGATGTTTAAAGAGCCAGCACGCAGCTCCCGTCCACGGGCCTGCCTCACACTCCTGTCTTCCTGCCTGTTGGACAGTAGTGAGCTGTCCCTGGGCCCTGCGGCCGGGCAGACATGTGCCAGACAGGGGGAAGCGGGGGGAGCTCTATTATTTGTCAGGTCACTCCAAGGCATGGCTATGTGTTTAAAAAGAGATGAGACGCACACAGTATCCCCACCGTGCCGTCAGGCACGCTGAGAAGCCTGCAGGGCATCTAGCCTCCACCGATTGGCTACAGATTCAGTTTAGAAATTCAGCAGACACATCCTCAGGTGAAATGTTGTATCTTGGCAGTGTGGGGACCAAAATATTAAAAGAAGCAGTTAACTGTGGATTATCTGTAACTGTCTAAACAGGACTGACAAAGGAATGTGATCCTCACTGTTAAAAATGGGGCCTCTCATCCGATGGAGGCTGCTTTCTAATTGAATCTTCATCTTACCTTCCGAAAATGGATTCATTTGTTTTACAGAAGGGACGGAGATGGGCATAAAACATGCACGTCTGCTTGAGTTTTTTATAAAAGAAAGTGAATATCCTTCCTGTGGTCCTGCTTTAAATTATATAACCAGGAGCCAAAACAGAAAGAAAAAAAAAAACCAAAACCAAGCAAAAACCCTGACAACTTTGAGGTGAGATCGTGGCACTGGAGTCGATGACGTCTAGTGTACTAATATAATTGCTATCTCAAAAAAAAAACAAAACAGAAAAAGAGCCTACGTTTAAAATAGACAGACCTTGGCAAAGCTCACTCTCTATGCCTGTCATGTTGAACATAGGAGGTAGTTTTCAAATGGAGGGAGAATTCTCAAACTTACACCTTTAAAGTTTTCCTTTAGAAGAAACATCCCTCCCTTGGCTTAGAGCTTTGCTGTTGCTTTTCGAAGAGCGATTCAGTCTAAAGGTCAGTTGGGTTGGATTCAGAGCAGAGCGAAGCGAGTCAGCACTGCGGGGCCACCCTGTTGGTGTAAGGCTGTGAACCCGGGCAACAACAGAACTCATGAGGGCAGAAGCTGGGTCTGCCCGAGCCTCTGGGTTTGGGGGTCACATGATCGTGCCTCCAGTAAATGGTCACAGTGCCCGGGGGGCACCTAGCGTGCCTGCTTAGCGTTCGGTGCCATGAATGGTGATCAGGTGAACATCAGCTCAGGCTTCCCCAGAGAAGTGTGGAAGCACTTAGCAAGGAGGTCGGACACTGAGGACAAGGTCTCGTGCACACGCTTGATTCCCCAGATCACACGGCGCTCTGTTGGTGTGCATTTCCGCGTTGCCCATGTTGAGTTGAACATCATGGACTTATTCTCTGGGAAAATCACAAAACTGAAAACAAAAAAACAAGAAACCTCTTAACTTGGTATTATTTGCTGATCTGTGAATAGTTTTACTAGTATCTTGGCTTTTTTTTCTCTGGTAGAGAGAAAGAGGCAATGTTTATTACATGACTGTACATCAGCTGTCAATCTAAAGGCTGAGGGTTTGGGGAAGAACTAATTATTGCCTTGGATTTAAATTTATTTCTATTTTTTTTTTTAAGGTTTTTTTATTTATTTGACAGAGAGAGACACAGCGATAGAGGGAACACAAGCAGGGGGAGCAGGAGAGGGAGAAGCAGGCCTCCCGCTGAACAGGGAGCCCGATGCGGGGCTCGATCCCAGGATCCTGAGATCATGACCCGAGCCGAAGGCAGACGCCCAACGACTGAGCCACCCAGGCGCCCCTTAAATTTATTTCTAAATTAAGGAGCCCCCCACAATGTTTTCCTATTTCTAAATTCATATGCTGTATAATTATAGGTTTTCCCCCTCGTAGAAATACCTGCTTATGGCACTATGAGGACGCCGTCTGCAAGATTTTTATTGAAAATTATTTCAACTCCATCTGCTTCCATGGGAGTAGAAACTGTGAAGTGCAGGAGTCTGGTGGGGTTTGCTCACCTAGGAAGTATCCAACTATTTGAACAGCAGGTTGTAATCTTAATTAACGAAGGATATGAAGTCTAGAGACGGAGAAGGCTCTTGAGCAACAGGAGAATTCTGAGCTCAGCGGGTTTGACTCATCCCACGTGCC